CTTAACACAAATAATACGAAAATTATAAGTGAAACGGTAGTTGATAAAAAAAATGGTCAAATTCACAAAAAATAATAATTTTTTTTAAAGAAATACGAATCGAATTCGTGTTGACACAGACACAATACAAATTTTTTGTAGGTCATATTTTTTCAACATTACATAATTTTTTTTGTATATCAATTTAAACACGGATTTTTGTATAGTATCACATGTCAATCTGCGTGTAACACCTTTTATTATTGATCATCGAATCCTCTTTTTTCGGGTGATAAATCACATATTATTAAGTTTTCGGCTAAATGCAATTTTTTAATTAAAAATTTGCTTTGAGTGCAGACTCTCCTATAGTGTTTTTGGGTCGCCCCAAAAATCAAATAAAACAAAAAACCAAAAATTAGTCCACATGGTTGAAGCAAAAGTAATGATTAGGGAGATCCAAATCCAAGGGCCAAGCCCAACACAAATTTAAAGTTTCTTCTACTCATCACCCCTACGATTGAAGGAACCACAGCCATGTATAGTTGAGTTAGACATTAAGATTTTGTTTGAAAGTTAATTTTAGGAAGGAAAGGAAAGTGATGGAAGAATTTTATTAATCATTTTCTTTATTCGTGAGTTTAAAAAAAAAATGGGGGAAGAGAATTGGAGATTTTTACAAAATCTTTTAAAATCCTTCTCACCCTTATAATTAAAGTTCTTCTAATTTGGGAGGTTTTAAAGGAAAAAATATTAAAAATTACTTATAGACTCTTAGCATTAAAATGTGAAAACTACATAAATATGAGTCATTTTTAAATGTGACTTTATTACAAAAGCCTCAAATACCGGCAGAATTTATCGACGAAAAATATTTCGTCGAAAATAGAGATGAATTTTTGACGAAAATCATATTACGTCGAAAATAGAGACAAAAAAATATTTTTGTCAAAACTAAAGACGAAATTAGAGACAGAACAAGATTTGGTCATAATCACTGACATAATTTTTTTTTAAAAAACAATTCGGTCAAAAATCTTGATAGAATCTAAATTCCGTCGAAACTTTCAACGGAAATATTTTTGTTAAACTTTTCAAAGAAATATATTTCCATAAATTTTTTTGACGAAACACATTTTCATTGAGAATTATCAGCAGAAAACAATTCCGTCAAAAATTTTGTCGAAAAATATTTTGGTCAACATTTTTTATGAAAAATATTTTCGTAAAAATTGGTGACCAAAAATATTTTTGTAATAAATTCTTTACGAAAACTAAATTTTCGCAAAAAATTTTGTCAAAATTTTCACCGATACACATTTTTATTGAAAATTTTGGACGAAAAATATTCCGTCAAAACTTTTGATTGAATTTTTTTTCTATCGAAAATATTTAAGAAATCATTTTCGTCAAAACTTTTGTAAAAAATTTCATCGAATAAAAATTATGTCGCCTTTCGACGAAAAGTATTTCGTCGGAAAAATATTTTTTTAACGGAATTTTTGTCATTTGACACGTAAAAATTTCGTTGAAAATATGATATTTTTTATTAGTGTGAAAAATACATAAATAATTTTTTTAGAAGTTTTAAATTTAATTTTATTTGTTATATTATATTAACTTTTAAAAAATGGTAAAATTGTAAAAAAAATCTCATTAATCCTCCAATTTTTTCTTTACCATTTTTTTAACTCCCAAATAAGGGAAGGAAAGACCCTTCAATTTCCTTCCCATTGAATCCCTTTTCTTTTCTTCCCCACCAAACTCTCAAAGAAAGCCTAAAACACCCATTTGATTCAAATAACTATTAACATCGGCTTTACCAATTTACTACCTTGCAACTTGTAAGCAAGGCGAAAACCTTTGGTACCCTCGTTGTAACTACATCTTTGTCAAATGAAAAAAGTTTTTTGGACTTGAAGGAAAAAATAAAATAAAAACAAAGGTTTAAATAAATAAAAAATTCTTCATTAAGAAAAATAAAGTACCCACTTATATACAGCCACTACATTCAAGAAATTTCCGCAAGGGACTGATTGACTAGCAATTTGAATCCAGAGCTCAACCACCCTTCATTATCCTGATTCTTCCGGACAGGCATATATTATTTTGAGAATAGGATATTATATTTATTTATTTTTTATGTTTTTTTTTTTTCCGAATTGCTAAATTGTAATCGCAATTAACAATTTAAAGAGAGAGAAAATAAAAAAATTGATTGAGATTGTAGAATAACGATGTTAAGAGAAATAAACAAAGTAGATAAAAAAAATAAACTTAATATCTTATTTCATTATTCTATAAAATGTAAGTGATAATACCCCAAATACAAATGGATAATTAGGATATTGTTAGACAAGTGATGGGAAATTAAAGAATTTGTTATTTTGTATTTTCTGTTGTGGTTCTTATAGGTGGGAATAATGACCAGTGTGTCACGTTTTTTGTATTAATATACCAAATTGCCATGTGAACAGTAAAATTTATCAGACTGCCACACGTTGAAGTTCGCTACCATTGATAGCGAACTTGGTAACCAATAATTTGTTGACACGTGATACACTTTCGCAGGAAAAGCTGACTGCCACAAGTCCAAGTTCGCTACGGCTGGTAGCGAACTTGGTAGCCAATGATTTCGTGACACGTGACACATTTTCGCAGAATCTCAATTAATGTACCAATCATCAATCACAATTAATTTTGATCATAATTAATGTACCAATCATAATTAATTTTGATTGGTACATTAATTTTGATTGGTGATTGATACATTAATTGTTTGTGATATCATTGTTACAAATTCGAACGATGTTTGTGAGAGATAAAATATGCCAAATGAGGTGTCATTGAGTAGATCACGAAAAGTTATATGAAATAAAATAAAAAATATATTATTTGGATATCTGAATCAAAAGTTATGGCCCTCCGAAGTGATTGGTGATTAGTACATTAATTGTGATTGGTAGTACAATCAAAAGTTAATCCCATTGGTATGATAATTGTGATTGGTGATTGGTACATTAATTGTGATTGATACAATCAAAAATTAATCTCATTAGTACGCTAATTGTGATTGGTGATTGATACATTAATTGTGATTGGTGATTGGTGATTGGTGCATTAATTGAATAGCCATTTTCATTCGTTTTCTATTTTTTATTGTGATCGGTACATTAATTCTAATCGGGCAACGATATTGTGCCACGTGCATGGTTATCAAAATCGCGAGTTAACTCGTAAAATCGTACGATTTTACGAGTTTACTTTGTTTGGCGAGTTAAATCGGTAGTAAAATCGAAATTCTGAGTAAACTCGTTAAAATCGCGATTTTGCTGTGCAAAATCGCAAACTCGTACGATTTGGGACGAGTTAGCGATTCATGGGCAGTGATGGCAAAAAAAAAAATTTGGACAAAAAATCGATTTGGCCCAAGAGGAAAACAAGAGGAAAACTTGGATTTAGAAACTCAAATTGAAGAAAACATGGTGGGAATCCAAAGTGGAGAAAACATGGTTGTAAACTTGGAAGTAGAAGAAATGGTTGAAGAACAAGTACAAGTTGCCGTGGGAGATGACGACGACGATGCTAACTTTGAGAATTTGATGAACTTTGTACTCTAAGCACTTAGTCTCTAAATTTTTTGTTATGAGTTTGTGTCTTTTTATTTATAATGTTAGTTGGATATTATTATATTTATTATATATTTTTAAAAGTAAAAACTTACGATTCGTGACGATTTTACGATTTACGATTTTACTATCCCCTCACGATTTTACGTAAAATCTCGAGTTTGACAACCTTGGCCACGTGGCACCTAGTTCGCTTGAACCTTCAGCGAACTTGGTGCATGTCAGACACGTGGCACATCTAGTTCGCTGCATATGGCAGCGAACTTCTCCAATGTGTCGGCATTTATTGCAATGTAGTTCGCTACTGGGAGTAACGAACTTATTGTCTACCAGAAACGTGCCACATCAGCAAACCAAGTTCGCTGGGCACTGTGACGAACTTACCCGCGTGGTATATTGGGAAATAACACTTTTCGCGTGGTATTTAGGTAAAAAAAATAGTGAACAATGACATTTTGGTCATTGGTAAGGGGGTATAAGACATTGTTTCACGTTATGAATGAATTAGATAATTTTCAGAACCATTTGTTGGTGCAAGGAGGACTTGCCCTCGCAGAGAGGATTGTTTTTTTCTTTTTTTCTTTTCTAGTTTTTTCAATTGCAGGCTTATTAATTTGGTGTTTTCATTGAGAGATCACACCCTCCATGACAATTATCCTGAAGTGATATGTAAGATAGGTATAAAAAAAATAATCTATCCCTTAAAAGTGATTCTACTTTAATATCCATACAATCAATTCTTCTAAATTCACTTTTAAAATATCATTTTCTAACAGAAATTAATATTTTTAACATAAATTCTTTTAAAAAAAATTCATTAACCTTTTTAAACCCTAACTTTCTGAGATCAAAAATGAAATATGGTCTCTTTTGTTTCTCCCAAAACCTAATAAAGGGTTTTAGAGTTTAAATTACCCTTCATCTTACATCTAGATTCAACCCTGTTTACAAAAACTTTTTTGGTGACTGCTTGGCATGCATTTTTTGAGGGAGTCAATTCCATTTCAGTTCATATATTGTACTGTGTTTGTCAAATAACTTGTTATGGACATGCAGTTACGGTTAGGTATTGCCAGCCACTCTAATTGTAAAAAGAGAATAATAAAATGCTTACACCTACATCTACTCTGCCTTGCATATTCCTAGTTATGATGTATGATGTGTCTACATATATTATTTTTTCGAAAATGTTATATATACAATTATTTTTTATTTACAAACTCTTACAAATTCAATTATGTATTCTCAGGAATAAACTTGGATAGGAATGTCTTCTCAATAATATATAATATAGTTTATAAATTTATAAATATAACCTACCCTTATTTTCCATTATGGAAGAAGAAGAAGAGAACGTGAGCTAGTGAGCAAACTAAGCATACTCAATCATTCCTCAATTAAACTTTCTCTTTATCACAAAAATAAAAAAAATAGCTCTTTTCTAATGCAATATGCATCATCTGCATGGTGGAAAGATTAAAGTGTAATAAACTAACAATATACAGTAGGAATACCTCACTCTTCTCTCCTTGGCTGTTCCTCCCACTTCTTGATCATCTCCAAAAAAATCTCATTCCATGTGTCTATAGGCCCTGGTAAGCACCAATGAACACAATCATTCTGCACACGCTCAGGAACCCCATTAGCAAATGGAAAAGGATTCATGTAAGGACCAGGATGGCCGTCTGGTCTCAATAAGGCCAATTTGGTCACATCCAGTGCCTCAAATCTAAACCCCTTAAATTCATTGGCTTTTGCCTTAGCATTTTCCACTTCTTCTATCTCAATCTGTCTTATGGCAGCATCCATTCCACCAAGTTGCTTCTCCCTTTCTCTATAAGGCTCAGTCTTTGAACAAGTACCAGCCTTATCCCAATCACCTTCGAAATGAGCAGGTGAAAATGTTTTCACAATTACATCAATTCCATTTCCTTTAGCTACCTTCCTCTCAATTATGCTATTAAGGGTAGTCCTTAAAGCCTTTCTCAATGGAACATAAAAATCAATCTGAGTATGATTAAGATCATGACAATTTAGGCTACCTAAAACTGAACCACCCTCATAGTAAACTGAAGGAAGCAAAAACCAATGCCCAAATGACACCACAATCAAGTCCATTTGATCCATATCCCTAGCCCACCTCTCATTAGCATGATCCAAATACATTGTATTATAATATTGCCCTTCATCTGATCTTTCAATACCTTGCACAAGAAATGGGGACCAATACAAAGAGAAATTTGCATTGTGAGAAGGGAAGTGCCACCGACGGAATTTATTATCATTGGCATTTAGGTAGACAAGGTCAGGGGTTGAAACAGTGGTTAACAAGCAAATAAGGGACTCTAATTGGTTCCTGGCCAAAGAGTCACCAACAAAAGCTACATGCCTGTTCTTAATGAGTTGGAGAAAAGAATGAGGTTCAAACCTTGGAAGATTACACTCACTTGGTTTCCATCTCCAGTATAGATAACCTGAGTCAGGCCTTCCATTGGGGATACATTTCTCACTTTCTTTGATCGTACCACATGTGGTAACATTGTATAAAGGACCTCTAATGTCACGAACCCATTCACCATTAGAGTAATCACATGGGTGGTTCTCATAAGATTCGTCCTTTTCTGCAAGAAAAAATCAAATAAGAAAAAAATTGAGTCTAGTTAACCAACAAGTCCTTAAACCCAAGTTGGTAATTAAGAGTTTAAGACAAAATCCACTAGTAATTCTGTAGTTTTAACAAGATGAAATTATGCATGCATATACCTGCAGAAGAAGAAGAAGAAGAGTGGTAGGTGGTGAAGGGGGTGGAATGTGGTAGTTGTGTTGGTGGAGATGGGGTAAGGGTGAGATGGTAGAAGCATATACAAAGCAGAGTTATGGGAAGAAGTGTATAGAGAGTCCAGGGAAGAATTCTCTTAGTAAGATTAAGGGAGAGGGATATGTCGTTGAATGCCTTTGTGCTGCCCATTTTCAAAGCCTTCCTCCTCCCATTCTTTCTTCAGCTCTAAATGTCTCTGTTTTGTGGTGTTGTCGGCTGTAGACGGAAGAAAAACAGTTTTATGTTTTTGTATTGTTTGTTGAGTAAGAATTTTTAAGATGAGATTATACGAAATTAGAACGTTAAAAAAGTTTATACTTACTTGTGTTGAAGACACGATTTTTAATATCTCGGTTGTAGTGCTTGTTTTTGGTATTCTTGCAAAGGTTGAAGATCAGGATATTCTTATGCAATTCACACCAAAATTGTGAAGTGACGGTTTTTTAACACTGAATGAATGCAGAGGAAAGCTAACCAAACTTATTAACCCTAGTCTCTTTCTTATCATAGGCCTATGTGTCAAGCCTAAATTGTTATGCACACTAATTAAGATATCTAAGTCCAAATTAAAAAGATCACTAATTAATTAAGTCTATTCTTATATGGATCATAACTTAGCCCATTTTTATTAAAATAAAAAAAATTACAATTGATTGAAACTCATAATTATTATAAAAATTTCTAATAGGTTGTTGGATTGTGAACTTCATAAAGAGGAGCGACCTGGTTTATTGTCTTATTTATTCAGTTAAAAAAATAAATAAGGCATCGTTGGATCTCCCATGATCTTACTAATTTTTGCTGAATTTCACAATTTCGGTTTTGGATTTTTAGTCATGAAACATTGGGATTCAATTATTGTCCTCATTCATGATTTTTTGCAAAGAATGACAAGGGATAAGATAAGGTTTTCTAGATGTGAATGTAGATAAATTGTAAGTGAATAAATGTTAAAAAAAAAATATTATTTGTTATAATTCATTTATATATTAGGGTTTCTTTTTTCTGCTTACTGCAGATAAATTATCTGCGGTAAATTTAATACGACGTCGTCTTGAAACGAAAATCATGGTATTTTTAAAATTTTAATTTATTTCAAGATTATTATAGTCTTTATAATTATAATCTTTTAATCCCAAATGACATTATTTTGAAAGAAAATACAGATAACTTATCTGTAGTAACTGTAGAAATATCATTCTGTATATATTATTACTCTTTAGTTTTTTTTTTTTTTTTTTCCGAGTCTCAGTTATTTTTTTTATCTTTTTTATTCTTTAAGGTTGGTTGGGTTGGCCTCCACTTGCTTTTTTTTTTTTTTTTTGCCCTTTATAACTTTTGTAAAAGTGGTTTATTCTCTGTACGAGAGTGAAAATGCAAATTACCCGGGTTAATGTTTCTGCGTAGATGGTTTATAAGTGATTATAAATATAGACGCGTGGATTCTGCATTTGGCAGAAGATATTTGTCACGACATGAAGAGGCCCACGCAGGGGCATGGTTCCCTGTTTTAAGGAAATTTTTTCGCGAACTCGGTATTTTATTTTAGGGTTTTATATATGTCATGTTAGAGGACACTTTTAGAGTCATGTTATTTTCACAAAAAAAGATGACTCTATTTTCTTTTCTTTTTTCTTTTCTTTTTTTTTGAGTGAAACCTACATCATATGTATTAGAGTAACACGACATTAAAAATGTCTTACAACATGACATATATAAAACCTTTTATTTTATTTAAAAATATTTTTTTTTCACTTTAACACACAAATATTTTTATAATTCCTTTCATATCTCAAAATCCTTTTTCTTGGATAAAGATGAAATTTTGATATTAAATCTTAATAATTAATTTCTGTCATTACAATTTATTAAGAATTATTAATTAATTAATAAATATAATTTAACAAACAAAAAATATTTTTGCAGCTACTGTAAATAAATTATCTGCATTTACTTCAAAAATGATATTGTTTTGGTATTGAATGATTAAAAATTATGATTATAAAGACTATAATACTCCTGAAATAAATTAAAATTACAAAAATACCATAATTTTCACCCAAAATGACGTCGTATTGAGCTTACTGCAGATAACTTTGCAGTAACTACAGAAAAAGTGAACCCTTTAATAAATTATAACAATTAGATTCAAGAAATCAGATGTCAATTTTTTTTACTCCAATATCAAATGATACTGTCCACACACATATATACATATAAGTTTATTATTAATATATTTTTATAAACTTTTAATTCATCTTTCATGTATTAATGTACTATTCTTATTTTTTAAATTACTTAATCAAATTAGCCTATTAAAAATATAAAAATATCATAATTTTTTACTTATTTTTTCTATTAAATAAGTGTTAAAACAATGAATTTGGTAACATTTTTGTATTTTTGATGGATTAATTTCATAAATTTAAAAAATTAATTCAGTCACGTACTAATTTATAAAAGACTAATTTAATATATATTTTTTGTACAAACATAGAGTATTTTAAGCATGGAATCACTTTATTCTTCTTTGTTAACTATTACAATAAAAAAATATTTGGAAATGTGGTCTGCGTTTGATTCTTTTTTTTTCTTTTTTAATTATTGAGAACACAATATGTTCTTAAAGGTTTGAAAAATTTAAACTGCACCTGAGATTAATCTTCTTTTAATTGTGGAAACGTAAGAATAATAAAGTCTTTCTATAAATTTTTTTTCTTCTAAAATTCAAATTCCTGCTTTTCTATTAAGGGTCAAAATTGATGATCACTTCGACCAAGCTTCTCTGCTCAGTTCAGATCTAAATATAGTCAACAGAAAGTTTAATTATTATTTTTATTTTAACAAAAGATTAATTAAAACGTACCACGCCCGATGAATCGATCATAACGTGGGTAGTACGCATGCTTCTCCCACCCTTTTTTGGGTTATACAAAATTCTTACGTGCGCAAGTTTCAACGAGTTAAAAAAATAGAAATAACTCTTGAGAAAGAGAGAGGTTTAAATTCGAAATCTGACTAATTGGATCTATTAAAACTTCGAATAAAGTTGGTATTTGTAAAAAATAATAGAAATATATTTACTAAAAAAATAAAAAGAACAGAAATATGCGTGAATTTTTACAATTTATATAAAATACAGTAGATGTAACGTTAAAAAAAAATAAAAACTTACCCAATGGGTGCAGCTCAGTTGGTAACTTGGCGCTGAGTTAGTGGGGTTGGATATGTGTTCGATTCCCGCTGAAAGCATTCTTGGAGAGGGGGCTGAACCTTTAGCCATCACTGTCCCCCGCACTCCGGATTAGTCCCATAGCCGGCTCAAAGAGTTGAAGCTCGTGAAAATATGGGAGGGAGCCAACTCGTCTCAAAGAGATAATGAGGATTGGGTAACTCAAAAAAAAAAAAAAAAAACTTATAGGGATTTGAATTGATGCTTGACCTTCTTGTATGGAAGACACAACTTCGCCGGCTGAAACACCTAAAACTTATAACGTGTTTCTATTTATTTATATTTTTCCAGATAACATATTTAAAAAAATGCACTTAAATCAATGATTGGAACGTCCAATATATTTCCTGAGACAAAGTGTGAGGTGTGAGTTCAACGAGGCATCCAATCATCACTAATCGACAAACCATTATCTAAAAGTACGGCACTATTATAGCAATTCAAATTTATAAGTTGTAAGTGTAAAATAAATTTAATTTTGTATTTAATAATATATAATTGTATTATTCAATAAACTTAATATTTTACATAGTTATTAATATAATTTAATTCATTACATAAAATACTAACACAATATTAAATAAGGGTTCACTCTTTTTGCACTTACTGCATATAAGTTATCTGCATTAAGGTCAATACGACGTTATTTTGGGGTATTTTTTGTAATTTTAATTTATTTCAGGATTATTATAGTCTTCACAATTATAATTGTGCAATATTTCAATCCCAAAACGACATTGTTTTGAGAGTAAATTCAGATAATTTATCTGTAGTAACTGCAGAAATATTTTTCTGATAATTTATACGTGCTTATCGTGTTTGATTAGTTTATGAGTTATAAGTGAATCAAGTTGAAACTAAATAAAAAAAGGGTTCGATTTTTCTGCAGATAAGTTATCTGCAGTAAGCCCAATACGACGTCATTTTAGAGCAGAAATTATGGTATTTTTGTAATTTTAATTTATTTCAGGATTATTATAGTCGTTATAATTATAATTTTCTAATCTTTCAATTTTAAAATAACGTCGTTTTGAGAGTAAATATAAATAACTTATCTGCATTAACTGAAGAAATATTTTTCTTGATAAAAAAATTGACTCACTTTTTTTAAGAGTAAATATCATTTTTTGGTACTCAGCAAATTTTACGATATCTGCTTTAGTCCCTAGCAAATAAAAAGGCTCATCGTGGTCCCTAAGAAATTCAAAATGGACCCATTTTAGTTCTTTTAGGGACTAATATGGGTCTTTTAAAATTTGTGAGGGACTACGATTTCAACTAAATTGGTCCATTTTAAATTTTTTAGGGACTACGATGGGCCTTTTTTTATTTAGTAGAAATTAAAACGGGCATCGCAAAATTTGCTGAGGACCAAAAAAAAATATTTAGTCTTTTTTTAATAAACCGTCTTCTTTTTATATCCCAACTTGGAAGTTAGAACGAAGACCTTGACGGGATAAATTATGTGAGTCTCGTGTGTGTTGGTGACCGGAAATTGGTCCCTTTGTTTGTGCCGCAATGTCCTGCTAGTTTGAATTATTGGGTCCATGATAAATGATGTTGCAACGTAACTTAACTATTGGTTTTATATTTTTATTTATTTTTGTGGGAACCATTTTATTTTTTAAATGATGTGGTCCACTAGGAATTCTCGTCTGCTTGTTCTAAGTTACGAACCTTCAATAATATAAGGGTACTTTTGTGTTAAAGTGACGCAACAAAATATTAGGCTATTTGACCAATTGAGGTTTTAATTTATCAATTTGATATTTGATTCACAGTATTTATCATTTAGTGACGCGAGGGGACCAAGCGTCATTGAGTGCCGCGATCCTTCCCTTGCATCACTCACACTTTTTTTTTTTTTGCTTTCTTTTCTTTCAATTGAGTGAGGCCTCCTCCCCTGGGGCATTCATAGGATTGTGCTAAGTGA